GAACAGCAAATGGTCTTTGGGATAGTTGCTGGTGTCGTACTGACCACGTTGTGTCTCATGTCGGCGTACACATCCTCACTTTGGATCTCCAGCACAAGGCTGTCGGTGTCAGTGTTGGTGTAGAGGAGCTCTGCTGATGACCTGTACTGCACCTTGAGTTGGTTGTAGTACCAATCGTACATCAGATGCTTCGAGAGGTCGAGAACGCTCATGCCCACGAAGACCGGCCGGTTGAGCAGCAGACTGCTTTTATTCATGTGAACGGCTGCGAGGTCTCCCGCATCTCTAAAGATGAGATGCCAATTAAATGTCGTCTTAGCAATAAGTTTGCAGAGTCTCTTGGTCTCACTTGGCTGGAGCAGCTTCACATCAACACGCTTTTGCAGGTTCTCCATCGTCTTGCCAAAGACGCTGTTGTTCAGCAGCTTGTAGAGGTTGACTTCAAAGTCACTCATGCCTTCTTCCAGAGTTCGGTGTTTTTCCGGATGTAGGGCTCCATCCATGGGCAAAGACGCTGTTATTCAGCAGCTTGTAGAGGTTGACTTCAAAGTCACTCATGCCTTCTTCTGGAGTTCGGTGTTTTTCCGGATGTAGGGCTCCATCCATGGGCTTTGATCGAAGCGGAGTGCCCTGTGGATCTTTTTCAGGCACACGCCAAGCTGTAGATAGAGCTGCAGATTCCGATAGTGCAGGACATATCGGGTCTTGTCGCGCAGGTTGGGGACTAGCTTTTTGACCTCGTGAGACACACCCCCATACATCTGTTTGAGGAGATATTGCTGGTAATCCGACATCCACACGTTGTCGACCTTCAGGCGTTCTTGCGCTAACGGATATGCATTGTGCTTGTGCAGCTCTTCCAGGTACTCCAGATCGACTTCGAGAATATAGCTCTTCTCTGCATCTACAGGCTGGTTCAGGGGCTTCCCCGGATCATAGTCTAGCACCTTGGGGTTGTTAGCCTTGGAGAAGCGCCTGCTGGCCATGCTGATGCTGCCGCGCAGGACCTTCTCTATGAAGAGATGCATGTCGATGTTGGTGAGCAGCTTGAGCTAGACCCCTGTGTGCTTGAGAAGAGCGTCCCAGCTTAAGCCCGGGCTTGTGTAAAAGTGGGCCAGGTCTAGCCAGTATCGCTCGAGGCACAGCTTTCGGAAGTTCTCGAAGACATCGGCAAGGAGGACGTCGGTCCGAAGGTAAAGGTCGTGGTAGTCGCCAGGATTGTGCAGCCGAAGGCGTCCCAGCCCCGTTTTCCGTGGGCGTAGTCCGTGGGCAGGTCTTGGTGAAAGCTGCACACATGTTGCCTCTTCTTTGGGCTATTTGAAGCTGGTGCAAAACGATGTGACACATTAACAGTAACCCAAAAAAGGGCATATTGGGTCCTAACTTCTGCAGTTAAGGAAGTTACCTATTCATATTAATTAAGAATTCATTAACTATTCTTACTTTCTTATCGCATTTACTTCGTGATAAAAATCCAGCTTTATTTATTATTGAAAACTAATGACTAATCCAATGAATATCTCATTGGTAACCAGATCAGTTGAATCTTAATTGACCTGGAATAACCGACTGATAAGCGGGGTGGCTTGACTGGTTCGACGGATAAAGGAGTCCATGAACGCCAAATACGCTTATTTTATTGGTCAATGGCCAGATCAGTGGACAGTCTGGAATGGTCTCGACTGATAACACTGTGCAACAAAATTGAAGTGAAAAAAAAGTACAAGACATATAAGACCTGTTTCGGTGTAAGAAAAGTATGCTGATTCCAAATCTGACATTTATTTCTCTGGATTAGGTGCCATTTTCATGTACTGTAATATTATATATTAAAAAAACACATATATATATAAAACAACGAAATCACCAGTTAAAACAACATTTGTCCTCTTAACTCTCTTGTGTAGAGTGTCATCATCCTTTTTTAAATTCCAGCAGTAGTCTGCCAACATACCAGTGTTCCATTTTCCTTTAAAACGTTTTTCTATTAATGAAATATCTTGATGGAACCTTTCGCCATGTTCATCACTCACATGGCCAAGATTCTCAGCAAAAAAATCCAAATGAGAGTGGAGCACATGAACTTTTAGAGACATGTTACATCCCATATCATGAAAATGACGAGTAGATCATTCACAACTTGCACATAGTCTTCTGAACGATGTTTTCCCAGGAAGTTATCACAAACTTTCTTGAATGACTCAAAGGCACATTTTTCTTTTCTCGTGAGATGTGTGTCAAAAATTTCATCAAGAACAATTTTTCGAATTTGGGGACCTCTGAAGATACCTTCTTTTATTTTAGCTTGACTTAATGAAGGAAACTTTTCTGCAAGATATGCAAATGCCAAGGAATCCTTGTCTAGTGCTTTCACAAACTGCTTGAACAAACCGAGCTTAATATGCAAAGGTGGTAAATGGATTCTATCACTTTGCAGAAGTGGTTTGTGTTTGATGTTATGTTTTCCTGCTCAATTTCATCTCTAGCGGGCCAGTGTTTTGTACATAGTGTTCAGCTCTTGCTCTAGAGTCCCACAAGCACAAGAAGCAACAAAATTTAGTATAGCCTGGCTGAAGGCCAGTGAGCATGGCTATAACCTTGAAATCTGCACAAACATGCCATTTATGGACTTCATACTTTATGCTTGTTAAAATAGTTTTAAATTTTCATATGATTCTTTCATGGTTGTGCTGTAAGCTATAGGAACAGGTGGCAGGGTGTTCCCATTGTGAAGCAAAACAGCTTTTATACTTTCCTTGGATGCATCTAAGAAAAGTCGCCAGTTGGTGTTATCATATGGTATTTCCAGTTGTTCAAAAAGTTCAATAATGTCATTGCAGAAACATAAATCATCTTTCAAAGTGAACAAAAAATGCAAGTTTTGTGCACGTTTTCTGTATAATGTTATTTTCACACCTTTTCTAAGAAGATTTCGTTCTTTAAGCCTTGATGCAAGAAGTTCACTTTTGTCTTTGGTTAAATAAAGATCTCTGCATAAGTCATTTAGAGCGTCTTGAGAAAATAGTATTGGTTTATTATTGCTTTCTGAATTAGAAAATTCTACTGATTCATCACTGTAATGTTCATCCCCACTGCTTGAACTCCACATTTCCTGATCAGGGGGTTTTGTTACAGGTAATTCTTTTGAGTGCTCAACTGGGCGTATTGCTGATTGCAAATTTGGGTAAACAATGTGTTTCTTTTTTTTCGCTGTTGTACAGCCCGTATAATCTTGCTGACAAAAATAGCAATCATTAGAATGATCTTTCTGCTCTCGCCAAATCATTGGCACACCAAACTTCATGTGAACATTCTTTTTTGCATACCATGCGCTCAATGTTTTCACACATGTAAGGCAACAGGCATGAGGAGCCCATGGCTTGTCTTGGTCTCCCATATCACAATGAAAGTACGCCTTGTACAATTTCTTGATATTGCTGGTAATGCTGCCTTTCTTTAGCAAATGTTAATTCGCCACATATGTAGCAGAATTTGCTTGGATCATTTTGCACTGTCTTGAAGTCATCGTCAAAGCCAAAATCTAAAGAATAAAGACAATTATCAAATAAGGTTCTGAGCTATAAAAAATTAAAAAAAACCTTGACAATTAATATTTTACATTTTTCTGACTTATATTGAATTTAAAAAAATGAAAAGTGCAGAACATCATTTATTATATATTTTCACAGACTAAATTTTTTTAATTAAACTACCTACGTGTTTAAAAATCAAAAATTTAATAAAATAAAAGCATTTTAATAGACTTTATGGACTGCAAAGTCGTCAGTATCCCATTTTTGACGCCATTACTGAAATAAACGTACTAAAGCATATGAAAAGAGCCATAATATCATTAAATAAAACAGATTAAAACCAAACAACATATACATCGCAAGTGAAAACAAATATGGCTGATGTGTTGTCATGCTTTGTCTACCCACCCTCCACTCCCTACTGTCCCTTTTGTCTAACAACCCTCCCCTCCCTACTTGCCTTTACTATACTATCCCACATTTATTTTGAGCAATATCATAAATATATGTGCATCCCATACACGGGTGAATCCAAAACTCTGTTTAGGCATAGATTAAAATATTAATTGTGAATTTTGAAATCCACAGTCGTGAATTTCAGTAATGGCGAATTTTGAAAAATCTATGCCTAATTCAACAAAACGTAGGCCAGACATGAATTTCTCATATTATTGTGCATATAAAAATGACCACAGATTTTCTGTACTTTTTTGAGTGTTGCACAGTGTAATAGGGGTGGCAGGACGTATAAGGGAGTCCAATTGCTATCTTACAATTGGTTCATTTGAATTTTTGTTTTATTGTGATTGGTTTGACGGATTTCGACTGATAGCCAACTGAACTAACATAGTCAAGCTCACTGTCTGAATTGAATGTTTGATCATTTCATAGTAATTTTTTATAAGCATGATAGAAACTAAACTACAATCAGATGGAATTTATGGAAATCTTTTACAAATTGATATGACATGAATGCCGCTGCCAAACTGTGAATTTTTTCAAGAGGGTCAAAAATTTATGGATAAATTGTAAATGCTTGGCAAAGACGATCTCGCGGGCGACATTCAGTCATTGATGTTCAAAGAAAGCCAACATTGTTTTGAGTTTTATCAGCAGAAATTTACATCCAAAATCGTAAGTGGCTAGATTATAGAATACCCGTCCACTTACTACAAATCCAATTTTTAATGGATACGCGGATGCGCGGTCAGCAGTTAACAGTGCAGGCTACGGTTTGTAGTCCATACACGGTTATGCGGTCAGTGATAATTAAATACAAGAAAATTCAACGTCACTGCGAAGTCAATTTATAGTGGATATGCAGATATGCAGTCATCAAAATCTTATATTTAATTTTTAACATAGGCAGAGCCATATATACAGGCCAAGAATATAAATGGCTATTCAACAGGCTTTACATACAACACGCCATCTGGAAACTTATATATATATTTTCTTTAAATTGACTTGATGTTGCTGAATTTCTAATTGCTTCAACTTTAACGTATATTTACATCTTACAATCTTATTCTTTTATTCTTTCATTCAAAGTTCCCATATATCTTCTTAGCATCTTCCAAAAAAACTTCGAATAAGTCTTTGCCTTTATTTTCGAATCTCCACAGAAACTCTGCCAGATACGACGAGAACATATATTTTCGTATGCCAAATGGTGGAAACTTTACCTTGGCCTGGCGCCAATGTCCTTCAATTTTATTTGTGTGATCTCCATTTTTGTTCACGAATTCCACTGAATGGTTCACTTGCAAGTGCTTGTAACCGTGTTTCTCTAGATTTAAATAAGCCTTCCAACAGTCCGATATGATTGTCGTGCCTTTTTCTATAACTGTTTCAATTATCGGCAACAACGTTCTCTCACTCCTGTCTTCTACTGCAAATATAAAACTCTTTCTACTGCCCTCTTCTATACCCCCAAATACCCATTGTCCTTCTACCCTATGTCCTCTATGATATTTTCGTTTCCCAAATTTGCTCTCATCAATTTGCATCCTTACACCTGGACCACCAATTTTTTCTCTGCATTCAAAATAGTTCAACTCGCAAATTTCCCTACAAAAACGGTCCCAATCAACTACTGTATTTCCACTAACATCTACCTCAAATCTCATTGTTTCCTGTTTAACATCTCTACACCACCAATATGTCAACTTGAGAACTTCTTCCAACGTTAAATTACTGCCCTCACACCAACTACCTTTCCGAATAGATCACTCAATCTTATGTCGTTTACTTCCTATTTGCTTTCTACATTCCATTTACAACCGTCCGACCTATCATCACACTCGACCAATTTCATAACGCTATCACAACGAGGGCATAGCCGATTACTAGTGATCAACTTCCTTTCCATTAGCCAACTTATCACACAATTTCTACTGGTAAGTACGCCGTCTTTAAGCTTGTCGTATGTCCAATAAACATTTTCTTGGTTTGCCTTTCGTTGATAACTTCCTATCCATTCGCCGCATTGCGTTGCAACACTTTCGCATTGTAGCAATGATAAATCTGTTTGAATTTCTTTTGCTTTTCCCTTCCTTGCCGCTACTTGAATCCCAACATTTTTCTTTTCCTCAGCGCCATACATTTTGCGTATTTCATGGTATTAATCTGCTTATTGCTGGCTATTTCCTTTGCTAGCATTTGTAGGCAACAATCATATTACAAATTATATGACGCTCCTATTACATAACTTCCTTAAATGAGTCATTATTCAACTACCTGTTAAAGTTATTCAAAGACATCGCCTCACACATTGCAAAATTCCTATGATACACTAACTATCCAATGGTATCGAAAAACAACCAAATTCTTTGATGAAATTTTAAATTTGGAGAGTTTTTGAAAGCGCATTTATTATTCATTGCCTATCGCTATTCTTGTTGTACAGAAGAATGGAGTGGGGTGATATTCCCTTCACACGTTTCGAAAATTATACTATCCACAGTTCATACCACCAAATTGTTGAAAAAAGACTCCAGCTTTCAAGATTAATTGACGGGAATGCTTTCTACAATATTCCTTCATGGCCGAAAGAAATGACCACAATATTCTGGAAAAAGCCACTTCAAGATTTGGATACATTCAAGTTAACTTTATTCTTATTGGGAAACGGGTGTTCTCCACATTTAACTTACGAATGGATAGTTACATCGACTTTCTGGAACAAAACGAAAACAAAAAAGCGGAGCATGCAAGTGAAGTGGATTCTCCAAACAATGGAAGAAAATAGCACAAAGTGGTTTACTATGATCTTCATTTTAAAAAATATTTGTATTTAAATGGCAAGGAAAGAAAATTATAAGTACTATAAGCATTGACTTCACATCTATTGTCCACTAAAATATTTCATGCGCCATGAATAAACAATAAATTTAGGTTAAAGAAATCTGCTAAATTAACAGACGGGCTATGTTTGCGAGAATTTCAATAAACTTGAAAACGCTAATTTTCTCTAGTGTATGTGAGTTTTTATGAATTATCAAAGAGTTTTATGGATTATGACATGCATTTATATCAGGTACATTTTTGTATTTCAGGCTTTTATTATGGTCTTTTCTGTCAAACTGATTTTCGAAACACCCATTACTCTTCGCTAGTTTTCAACCAGGAAATCGCACCAAATAAATCGCATGTCATATATATGACTAACATAACTAGTCAGTGAAACATTTGATAGACCAGCAATTTATTGTTGGCTTCAAATTACATCTCAACTGCTTTCTCACGTCACAGGAAAAGTAATTAATCATTGCCTGTCAAACTGTGATTGGCCTTTCAACAGTATCAATTTTTCTTCTCGTGCACGCTTCGATACATAACACTCAACTCCTGTATACACATGTTCAGTGATTTTGTTCTTACGTTAACAACTCGATCCTCTTCAAAATTATGGCAACGCTCAATCCAGTCACCAAAATTGGACGTCAACATGAAAAAACATGGTCACGTATGCAACAACGCCTTTCAGCTATGTCGTTTGATTACGGATCACTTATGCAAGAAAATCTTCTAAGCTTTATCAAGCACAAAGCTACAAGTGTCAGTAGCTGCGTTGGTTATTTTATTCCAGCAATTCTCGCCACTGTGTCGTTCTTACTCGCCAAAGCCAAAGCAACAATCTTAGCGATGAATCATGTGCAACCCACTAATCTTTATTTCATTTTTGTTGGCTACCCTGGTACAGGCAAATCAGCTGCTGTTGAACATGCGTGTATCAAACCAATGCGGAAAATAATGGAAGATGAAATCAAAAATTGTCTTCTTGATCGCACAACTTCTTCAGGCTTGGTAAAACACTTACCAAAATTTGGCAGTGGATTTATCGTTTCCCCTGAAGTTTACAATGTGCTCAACAAACTGCTAAAATCAGATGACGAAACGTGCTCCGGTGATGCTATGTTGATGTGTAAACTTTTTTCTGGCGAAAGAGTATCATTTCATTATGCAACAGAGGAGACAAGAGAAATTGATCGAAATACGCCTTTTACTGTTCTTGGAAGCACCCAGTTACCAAATGCTGCCAAACTTTTGGCAAGAATGGACAAGGGTCAAGGATTGATCGATCGGTTTTTAATTTCGGTCCCATTAGCTCTGTGCCCACATTCAACGGATATTAAGCAGTCTATCTCATATCTAGAAACCGAGGCCATTGACAGTTTTGATGAACTTTACTGTGCAATTCTTCATTTCCATAAATTTAATCAAGTTCAATACACTTTGCACGAACAAGCCGAATGCTTATTGAATAAAGAAAGGGATACCCTTACGGCGGAAATCAACGAGGCTATCATCGCTGGAGAATTCTCACCCCCTGAATCTAAGAAGTTAGATCTTCTCCCAAGAATCGCTACTGCGTAAATAATAGTATGGCGCCTTATGGCTACAGATTTTTTGTCCATTGAAATGTATTTGCAGGAATGTAGGATTTCGCTGCCATATAACGCCCACGATTCCCCAAGCACTAAAGAAATCATAGCTAAAAGTCCTTCGGCAACAACAATTTTAGAAGCATCAATCTGCTGCTTACCATACGCCATATTGACATAAATCGCATCACACACTCGCATAAATTGACTTTGATATATTACATTCATGCATACACTTCACTTGTCCTTTACTTACGATTTTGGATGTAAATTTCTGCTGATAAAACTCAAAACAATGTTGGCTTTCTTTTGAAAATCAATGACTGAAATGTCTCTCGCGAGATCGTGTTTGCCAAGCATTTACAATTTATCCATAAATTTTTCACCCTCTTGAAAAAATTCACAGTTTGGACAGCAGCATTCATGTCAATATATGAATTTGTAAAAGATTTCCATAAATTCCATCTGATTGTAGTTTAGTTTCTATCATGTTTATAAAAATCGCTATGAAACGATCAAACATTAATTCAGACAGTGAGCTTGACTATGTTAGTTCAGTTGGCTATCAGTTGAAATCCGTCAAACCAATCACAATAAAACAAAATTTCAAATGAACCAATTGTAAGATAGCAATTGGACTCCTTTATACGTCCGGCCACCCCTATTATCAGTCGAGACCATTCCAGACTGTCCACTGATCTGGCCATTGACCATTGACCAATAAAACGCTGCGTTTTTGGCATTTATAGACTCCTTTATCCGTCGAACCAGTCAAGCCACCCTGCTTATCAGTCGGTTATTCCAGGTCACCAACTGATCTGGTTACCAACGAGATATTCATTGGATTAGTCATTGGTTTTCATAAATAAATAAAGCTGGATTTTTATCACGAAGTAAATGCGATGATAAAGTAAGAATAATTAATGAATTTTTAATTACTATGAATAGGTAATTTTTGAATTTCAAACATCAGTCGCGCGACGGATTTGACATACTCTAGACCCGCCCCTGGGTACAAGTAAAACTCTGACAAGTTTGTGTTTCAAATAATACATTTATAACAACACCTCAAAAGTTTGAAATTTATAATTCAGAATGGACGAAAACGCAAGAGATTTTACCTATGGACTTCTATTCACCTAACATACTGACAAATCTACAGCAGTAAAATAAACACCCTACATTGAAACATGTAATTTTTACCAATAAAAAACCTTTACGGACTTGCCAGCAATTAAATAATGGTTTCTCACCTTATTTCTTTTACGTTTGTCACACATTTTTGCAATTGTCCAGTAACTAATGCATATTGACATAATCATTTTGAGTCAATGTAGTGTCCTTTGAACAAAACATTAAATAAAGGCAACAAAACAACTGCTGTTTCTCTATAATAGCACACAATCAATCTTTCCTTTTTCACTAAGATTGTCGAAACCCCTTATCTCTCGTTTTCATTGTGAGCATAGTGGCTGGTTGTGGCATGCAATCAAAATATTTATACTCTACAGCGTTGTGTCAACTGACAATCCTTCCTAAAAGCTCAGAAACGATATCTCTGACTCTGAGCTTCAGACACCACGTTTGACTGTACTTGAGTGATTTCCATGTTCACACACAAAAATAAATCTAATAAAACTGTAAAACGAGGAACAATTTGACAGTATTTGAAGTACTTGTGCTAATAAACTTTGGCACGACCAAAGGAAAATATTCAGTGATTGAGCATGCATATGAAGCAATACAGCCTTATATATTATTAGTAATTTCTGTCCTAGTCGTTCTCGCCCATTGAAAAAAAATACATGGAACGTTACCAGTAATACAAAACCCTAATAATTTTTTGAAGCCAAATTTTACACCCAGACACGCCTCTGTAGACAGGGGCAGATCTAGGATTTTTCGAACATCAGTCAATAAAGCCAGAAGCATTCCGCACCTGGGGGGTCAGAGGTACTTTCTCCTGGGAAATTTTGTCAATGTGGCGAAATCTAAACAATTTTTAGAGCATCAATCTGCTTACCATATGCCACATTGACAAAAATCGCATCACGTACTGGCATAAATTAACTTTGATATTTTACATTCATGTATACACTTCAGTTGTTCCTTACGATTTTTGATGTAAATTTCTGCTGAGAAAACTCTAAATAATGACAGCTTGCTTTTGAACATCAATGACTGAAATGTCTAAGAAAGATAATGTTGTGTTGTTTTCATCATTTAAAGTGTTGAGTTACTTTGCTCTTCAATATTTATTATTTTGTTTTACTATACTTGTAGTGTGATGGCATTTTTTTGGTTAAAGGTTTTTATCACTAACTTATGATTTACTTGATGTTGGTTTTGGTCCAGTCATTTTATAAATGCCTGTCAGATGCTTTGAAGTTGCCAATTCTTTTCAAGATGTGCATATCTTGCATCAAACAAATGAACAAAACTCCCATCCATTGTGAATTGAGTTTTGGCTGTAAAGTCCCAGGAAAGGGATTAGGATCTGTTCATGTTATTTTTCAGAAAATATGATGGGGAGTTAAGAATAGAGTTGTGCTGAAATTGAATGCCACAGTTGCCAAAAATATTCAACAACACTATGGTACATATGGTACCACAAAAATATTTTAAAATCAACCCTTACCTTGTTTTGCACAAATTGACAGATTACAAGTAATAAAGCTATTATATCTGGGTAAAGATTTGCTCGACGCTGCATATTACA